TTTTACTGGCCGTGTTGAGCTGAAGGGGATTAACGTTACACTGTGAGATCTGTGTTCTGTTTATCGGACAGATGAGCAAACTTGAGGTTTTGTCTGTTTCACTGATCTGCTCTGCCTCCTAATGGCAGTGCCTCTGATTCAGAGGGAGACGGTCATCACAATCACTTACACCAGAACATCTGACCACCAGAACCTTTAAAGCTGGAGTTCCACTAATTTTCCAGAATTCCTCCATAACTCAGTGTGTGAGGTGTAAAGAGAGTCATTCAGACTGGTTTGCTGTGAAATGGTTGATTGTATAGACTTTAGCCATGTTTCAATTCTTATAACTTACCCTCACTCACTTCCACTCAGCACTCGGATGTGCGTCACTCCTCCAAATGGTTCTTAAAGGGTTCTTTAGTAAAGAAAATGGTTCTTATAGAACATTCAAAGAATTCTTTGCATGATTAAAGTGTTCTTTGCATCATAAAAGGGTTCTTAAGAATGAGCTGTAGGTGCTGTATTCTATTTTCACAATGTAAAGCTTATAACAATAGAAGAACCCTTTTTGGTGCTAGATAGAACCCTTTTCAGAAAGGTTCTACATGGACTTATCTACAGCACATTCTTAATAACCCTTTAATGATGCAAAGAACCCTTTAATCATGCATGGGTTCTTTGCATCATGAAAAGGTTCATAAGAATGTGCTGTAGATGGTTCTATCTAGAACCTTGTTGAAAATAATTCTACAACGCATCAAAAAGGGGTTTTGTATTGTAAAAAGCCTGAAATCATAACAATAGAAGAACACTTTTTTGGTGCTACATAGAAACAGCTTCTCTACAGAACCATCTACAGCACATTTTCCATCAGTTTAGAACTCTTTCATGATGTGTCTCAGTCATCAGGCAGTGAATTCATAACCATTTCATGTAGTAACTTTCTGATATATTTACACACTGTTATCAGGTATAGCAACACTGCAGGACGCTGTTCAGCCAATCAGACGGCGTGTAACTGAGTGTTATATAACACTGAATCTGCATATCTGTGTGTTTGAGAGCTGGAGGTGATGAATAATCAGCTGCTGTGTGGAACCCTGCAGGAACTTCAGAGAGAACCATGGACTTTTCAGCAGAACATACAGCAAATGTCAGAACTCAGCATGAGAGACAGAGAGAGGGAGAGGGAGAGAGAAAGCAAGAGAGAGGGAGGGGGAGAGGGAGGGAATGAGAGAGGTGGAGAGAGGGAATGAGGGGGGGGTGGAGAGGGAGAGGGAGGGAATGAGAGGGAGAGGGAGGCAATGAGAGAAGGAGAGAGAGAGGGGAGGGAGAGAGAGGGAGAGGGAGGGAACGAGGGGGGAGAGAGTGAGACAGAGAGAGGGAGGGGGGAGAGAGTGAGACAGAGAGAAAGAGTGAAGGAGAGAGAGGGAGAGAGAGAGCTGAATAGGCCTGGCCCTTGGTCGTAATTCATGTTTTCATGCCTGTATGATGAGTATGGCTGTATAATGAATATGGCCGTATGATGAACATGGCTGTATGATTAGTATGGCCGTGTGATGAATATGGCCGTATGATGAATATGGCTGTATGATGAATAAGGCTGTATGATGAGTATGGCTGTATGATGAATATGGCTGTATGATGAATAAGGCTGTATGATGAGTATGGCTGTATGATGAATAAGGCTGTATGATGAGTATGGCTGTATGATGAATATGGCCGTATGATGAATATGGCTGTATGATGAGTATGGCCGTATGATGAGTATGGCCGTATGATGAATATGGCTGTATGATGAATAAGGCTGTATGATGAATATGGCTGTATGATGAGTATGGCTGTATGATGAATAAGGCTGTATGATGAGTATGGCCGTATGATGAATAAGGCTGTATGATGAATATGGCTGTATGATGAATAAGGCCGTATGATGAGTATGGCCGTATGATGAGTATGGCCGTATGATGAATATGGCCGTATGATGAATATGGCTGTATGATGAGTATGGCCGTATGATGAGTATGGCCGTATGATGAGTATGGCTGTATGATGAATATGGCTGTATGATGAATAAGGCTGTATGATGAGTATGGCTGTATGATGAATAAGGCCGTATGATTAGTATGGCCGTGTGATGAATATGGCCGTATGATGAATATGGCTGTATGATGAATATGGCCGTATGATGAGTATGGCTGTATGATGAGTATGGCCGTATGATGAGTATGGCCGTATGATGAATAAGGCTGTATGATGAATATGGCTGTATGATGAGTATGGCCGTATGATGAGTATGGCCGTATGATGAATAAGGCTGTATGATGAATAAGGCTGTATGATGAATAAGGCTGTATGATGAGTATGGCTGTATGATGAATAAGGCTGTATGATGAATATGCCTGTATGATGAGTATGGCTGTATGATGAATATGGCTGTATGATGAATATGGCTGTATGATGAATAAGGCTGTATGATGAGTATGGCTGTATGATGAATAAGGCTGTCTGATGAATATATAGTTCAGCCTTTGTTTGAGCGCGCTGCTTTAAGCCGTTTTGTATTTCCATTCTATGCTTCCCAGTGGTGCAGCGGTAACTCCTCAGGCCGCCAATCAGTACATCAGCGGTTTGAGCCTGGCTGTGAGCCACCTCAACCCCCCCATGCACAATCACCAAATTCACACCCCATCACCTCATTAAATTCACTTAAGACCCTTTTTCACTGGTTTTCCTCTCTGCACTTGGGTCCGCCTCCCTGCCGTCCCGTAACAACTTCATTGTCCATCTTATTGCTCCATTGACCATATAGTCTCGCTCTGTAGTTCTACAGTTACAGACTGTAGTCCATCTGTTTCTCTGCATACTCTGTTACCCTGTTCTTCAGTGGTCAGGACGCTGATAAAATGGACAGTAAGTGTAGAAACAAGGAGGTGGGCTTAATGAAGTCACTGATTGGTGTATTATGGATCATGTCATACTACAGATTGTGTACTGAGTTGTATTTAATCCACACATGGAGGCTTGATGGGATCAGGAATACAGTTTATTACACAACAGTGGGAAGTAAACAACAGAAAAACATCTAAAAATGATGACTTGAGTAACAGACTTCCTTAAGGACAGCAAAGATCAAAGAGCTCCATAAACAGGAATGAAGAAACACGTTTCCCCTCAGGGAGCTAAACGAGACAGTCTGGGCTTTGGTCATTACAGAGACAGAAACAGCCCAAATAGATACCAGGTGATGGAGGAAAGTTAGAGGAAACAATACTGCCCTCTGGTGGTCAACTGAGGCACTGGGACGATATAACAAGGCCTCTTACTGAATAAATGTTATATAAATTTCTATTTATTTACAGAATTTAAGCACTCAAGTACATATTAACCAACTATAGCATTATTTTTATATCAGTATTTTAATAAGTTGTTTGCCAGTGTCTTATTTACCTGTTTATGTATTTATTTATAGCTAAAATCAAAAAAGGAGATGGAAATCTACACGACTGTTAAATTTCAACTAATTAAATCTGTACATCTCAGGTTCATTCAGGTGTAGATCAGCCATAGCCACAATTTACGACAGCTAACGGTCATTTGGATGTCACAGGTGAGAAATGGTTTAGTCCTAATAATATTTATTAAAAGACATAAAATCTGAGACATATCTGTGGGAATGTGTCTCAGATTTATTAAGATGTATTAACATTAATGTGCCTTTAATTTGGCACTTCTAACTCAACTTCAGCTCATTTGTTGTGCTCTAGTAAAGGAAACACAGGCTAATGTTAGCTGATTTAGCTATGTTGGCATAATAACTCCTGTTTCAGTGCAGATTTACATTGTTGGTAATAGTTATTTTTCTTTTGGGTGTTTGTAGCGATGTGTGCTGAAATAGGAGTCAGATCCTGCTGTTAGCTTAGCCTATCACTTTAGCACTGCTGTAAGGGTAAGTAAACAAGCTGGTTCACTCAGGTAGGCAGAAAACTATTGAAGGGGAATTCCACTATGTTTTTCAAGATTTCTCCATAATTCAGTGTGTGAGATGTAAACAGAGAGATTCAGAGTGGTTTGGTGTGAAATGGTCCGATGTCTTTACAGTGGTGGTGATAGGAACCAGGGGTCGCCATGACTACAACACAGATATGGACATTTTATTTACTATCCAGAACCACCTGCCCGCATTGTGCCTTGTTCAGAAAGCAGTCAGGCCTGAAAGACTGCTAGAGTGGGCGGAGCTAAACTGCAGTAGGCTGAATAAGCAGTTATAAGCAGTAAATGCCCTGGTTCTAGTGAAAATGTCAAAATACAGATTTTATGAGCGTCCCCTGGAGTATTTACCACTTACTGAACTCACCCCACATACAGGACATATACACCGATCAGGCATAACATTATGACCACCTCCTTGTTTCTACACTCATTGTCCATCTTATCAGCTCCACTTACTATATAGGTGCACTTTGTAGTTCTACAGTTACAGACTGTAGTCCATCTGTTTCTCTGATACTTTGTTAGCCCCCTTTTACCCTGTTCTTCAGTGGTCAGGACCTCCATGGACCAGCAGCACTGCTGTGTCTGATCCACTCAGACCAGCACAACACACACTAACACACCACCACAGTTTTAATGAGGCTGTGAGTTGAAGTCTGCAGTGCTTTGGTCTGTGAGGACTGGAGCCTGACACATGTGGTCCAAGCAGAGTCTGCCTAGAGGGGGGAGACAGGACAATATCAGTCATGACAAACTGCTCTTATGTAAACCTGAGTATAACAATAATATTGAAGAATATGCATCAGAGATACTCATAGACACTAAGTGTACCCACAATCATACAGCGACCCTTTGACTTTCAGTAAATCACATAGAAGCCTATTGTTTTCAGTGTTTTGTCTCAACTTTCTTTCGCTTTGTTGTGCCCTGATTGAGTCGATGAGGCGGTGTTGAATGTAAAAATACTTTTTTTTTTTTCCGAGAAGTCTTCCCGGTTCCTCTCCAACCTGAAAAACCACATTCCGTTCAGTAGCACACCTGTGAACAGACTTCAGCCGTCTCCAGTTTCAGAAGACAAATGTCGCCGATGAAGGATTAAATAAAACCTGTGAGGATTAAAACAGTTTGGATTTCTCTTAAGAATAAACTGGATCAGAACATGGTGAGTATAAGAGGTTTAATACATTTTAGAGTGTTTATCCCGATACTGGTCAGCCTACAGTGTGTCCCTGACCCTTAACGCTCCGGGCTGCCACAGTCTCCTTTGTCTCAGGGACAGTAAGAGTGGTGTACGGTAGTAAAATCAGTTTTGAGTCACTTTTAGGATGATAAACTTGCATGTGTTAACCTTTAACCCCTTACATTACACACATATAACCTCAGAATAGCTCAGCCAGTTTGAATTGAAGTCTCTGTAGTTACTGAATAATAAGCCGTAGTATGTAATGAGCCTGAGATTTTAAAGGGTTAATGTCTGAATATGCAGTCCTAAAGTCATTTATGATTATCTTTGCATAGTATTGTTTAATACAGAAAACAATGTTCTGTTTCAAAAACATGTTGCTACTGACGCTCTCAGTAAATATGAGAACTGAACTGGCTCATTATTATATAAGCGGTGAGGAAATGTGATATGGATTTTAGCCAGTGGGCTGTGGTGGTACTGCAAGGTGGCCTTTCTTTCTGTTTTTAACCACACAAAATTATGACAATATAGACATTTAACAATGTCTTTTTAAAAATGTTAGAAATGTTGATAATTATTTGCAAAAATAAAAGAGCACATTAAGGCCCAGTTCTATTTCACCTCTCACCCCTACCCCTCAGTTATAACTATAAACAGTGTTAAAAGGGAAACAAAGGAAAACCTGCAAGATGGAGCACAAGAGACCAAAGAAAAACACATGTGAGAATTTTCTCTGTTTAAAAATTACAATAACTATCATATCTTAGTTTAATGTCGGTTCAGTATATTTTGGTCCTTTTCACAACAAGCATAAACATCACTAATAGTAGCTGATGTCTCAGTAGCTAGATAAATAAATTTCCCAATCCACCTTAAATGGTGAACATTTGACTTCAGCTTCATATCACTGAAGAATTAGGGGTGGGTGATAATAAATAATTGCCCCCCTCTTTGAAGGCATATGATGCCCTAAATGTAACTAAAGCCCAGCAGTGAGGAGCTGAACTTTACCCTCCTCTGCTGTCACTGCAGACTGGCAGGGTCGCCTACAGAGCAGCGCTGGTAGCTGTTAATGAAGTGATGCTCTTTTTATTTGAGGGTCCCATTTCAGAGGGAAGAGTTCAACCACTACCCTGTAACTCAGTTCCAACATTCGAAAACAAGGGGTAAAAATAAGAAGAGGAAGATCGAGTCTCTCTTTATGGCTCTTAACTCTATAACTGTCCATTAAATCCAGATCAGAGTTTTATAATATAACATCAAACAGGTATGGCTGTGATTATGAAGTCAGATCTGTTGTCCTGTGCTGATTGCTGCATGCAAATAAGTTCAACCTAATAACTCTTAAATATTTCTCCTAAAGCACAATGATGGATGGGCCAGAGTCACACAGCTGTGAGTGTAAAGTGAGCAGCTGGTCAAAGGAGCGACCGGCAGTGCAACCCCTGGACAATAGAAGGTAAAAATTGAATAATTTTCAATTTCATTTTTTCATCATTTTCATTTTAATCATTTAAATTGATTGAGGGATCTATATCTAGACCTGTGAGGTCTTGTGAATTGCCATCATAATGAATTGACACGATGATGATGACAAGATATATTAATGTCAACAATAAAAAGTGGTTGACAAATATTTCCACTGTTAATTGTTTGCTAATAGGTGACATCGAACCTAGAATAATTTAACAACTTCTCTAACATAAGGGTACTTGGCAGTGCTTAGTTGTGTGGTGCTAATGCATTTCATTCAGAATTCAGAGCATCTAAGAAATTGGGTTTTATTGAATACGGACCTGCTGAACAGATCATTAGAAGTTGTTAAGGCTCAAGATGCCCTGCCTGATCAGAAACACCTTCCCTCGTCCAAGATGGAGATGGTAGTAGATAAAATCTTCAATCTCGTAAAACCGCTCAGTTACAAAAGTGCTGTTTGATTCTGTCTCTCTCCATATTTTCTAGTAAAGGATCTAAACTGTCACTGGGTCAGTTCCCCTCTTGTCACTGGGGTGGAACCCTGAAGGGTCCATCTCAGTACCTTTAGTCAGGGAACATAACTGAACCATAATCCACTGAAATGATATGTTCTAAGCTGTACTGACTCCACACACCCCGTCTCGTCTCCAGGCTTTTATTTTACTGTTCTGTTTAAAACATTCGGTTATGAAAAGGTACAAACACGAACTTTTCACCTGGAGAAACTTATTTAAGGATCACAATCAGACCTTAAAACCACTGTTGGAGCTTTGAGGGAACATTTACACTGTTTGTACCTTGATGAACGAAAAACGTACCTGAACAGAACCTTTATTACTAACAGTGTAACATTAGCTATAAAAACACAGCAGCCCAGCCCACCCTGCAAACCCGTACGTCACTGCAGTGCCCCTCCCAGCATGCCCCTCCCATTTTTGATCATGTTTCAAAGTTGAGCCAGGGGTGGAGTTCGCTGAGAATAGTGGGGTGTAGTTACTCTTTAAACAGTAATTGGTAACACAGAATCCTGAGTAAACCCAGCAGTGATTATAACAGACTTGCTGCTTCTGAACAGTCACTTTGTTTGTTTCATTCCACATAAACACCTCTGTCTTTTCTCTTGAAGTAAAAATGTGGACAGGCCAGTTTCGCCCAGCTCTAAGTCTGATAAGTCCCTGGAGGTACCGTTTCACTTTAAAGAGATGAATCTCCAGGAGAACAAAAGGTAAACCTGAGCATGATTCACACTCATCAACCCAGAGATTTACATCCATAACCCTGAACACTGAGGCTCAGTGATAAATAACTATAAGATCAGTTTTATATGTGTTTAAACTTTTAGCTTACTTTTCAGTTGAGTGAGTCCTTTTAATCACTGTACTCGTGTGTTTTGGGGTCTAAACCAACATGAAAACCACAGAACTATAGAACTGTAGAAATGCAATCAGTCTGGAGGATGAAGACTCCAGTCAGAGCCGTATCACAAAAAGGCAGGATGGAAAAATCATCATCATCATCATCATCATCATCATCATCATCATATTTAACCGCTTAGTCTAGATAGAGTCGCAGTAGCAGTTGGGAGAGCAGAGAACGCCAGACGACCCTGTCCCCCGCAACGTCCTCTAGCTCATTCCGGGGGGATGCCGAGTCACTCCTAGGCCAACTCTGCTGTGCCTCTTAAACCCCCGCCGGGAGGCATCCAGGGGCATCCTCATCAGACGCCTGAACCCCCTCAACTGGCTCCTCTCAGAGTGGAGGAGTAGTGGCTCTACTCTGAGCTCCTCCTGGATGACCGAGCTCCCTGTCAGTAGAGTGTAGCCACCAAACTCATTACCGATGCTTGTATTCGTGAGCTCATTCTTTTGGTCATTACCCAAAGCTCATGACCACAGGGTGGGGATGTAGACCGACCGGTAAACGGAGAGCCTTGCCTTATGGCTCAGCTCCCTCTTCACCACTACAGTCCAGTACAGTGACCGCATTACTGTTGCCGCCTGTCCCAGCCTGCGGCCATTCCCACCATCCCTCTTCGCATCACTCGTCAACAAGACCACGAGAAACTTAAACTCCTCCACCTCCACAAGGATGGAAAAATCTGGAACGTCTGAAATATTGGAATGTCTTTTAAAAACCACTGGTGTACTGTACTGAGCAGCCTGCTAGCAGTGGTGGACGAGGTACACAAATCCTTTTATTGAGTAAAAGTACAAGTTCTCTGTTTATATTCCTACTTTAGACATCGTGCAAAAAGTACTTGCCTTTAAAAGGTACTACTACATACTACAGTGGGCACGATCTCAGTTCATCCACTATACCAGTTGAAATTCTTCCTCAGCTGTGAGTTTTGTCATCACTGTTATAGTAATAAGCCACAGATAAGCGCAGATGACATGGTGTCCAAACAGTGTAAACCACACTAAAGTTAGCTAAGCAGCTGAGTCAGTATATATTCATCAGAGCATTCCAATGTTCAAAGTAATAATCTATGGAATATTTGAAAATGAAAATATGCTATAGTTGCAGCCCTGCTCTCGACTCTCTTTAACTGTCAGTTAAATCCAGATCAGATTTCTATAATTTAATATCAGACAGGTATGACTCTGATTAACCCTCTGGGGTCTGAGGTAATTTTCTTGAAACTCCTTTAAAGGCTCATCCTCATATGTTTCATATCTAAAATGCTTCGTTATCTTCATCACTACTTTCCAAAACCGCTGCAGCAGCTTCAGCAGCTGTAAACTCTCTGCACGCCGTTTCACATGAGTCTCCGATGTGGACTGAATGAAGAATGAAGGGTTTCCGGCATGATGGTCAGTCCTTAGTGATTTCCTGAGTGTCCATTGGTCAGTTTCACACAGAATGTAGACGGACACACCAATCCACCAGTTCCACACGGTGAGAGGGAGATGGCGTGTATCTCCGCCCCTCTTCATAGGCTCATAACTCTGGATGTGAGTGTCGTATGATCTCGTGATAAAATGGAATGGAAAGCGCGACTCTACAGATTCACTGTTTGAACTGGACTTCAGAACTGTTTGAACTGGACTTCTGTGTTTGATCATCACAAAGATACAAACACAGATATAGAGACAGAGAATTTGATGTGCAGGTGCAAAAGGTTCCCTGTAATAACTCTTAATATTTCTCCTAAAGCACAATAACAGACAGACCAGAGTCACCCAGCTGTGAGTCTGAAGTGAGTGGCTGGTCAGCGAAGCGACCGGTTGAATTGAAAGGAAAGGAATCCCTGAACCATAAAAGGTAGGAATGGAAAACTTTTCAGAACAATGAACAATAAGTTTTAATGATTTCAAATTAGAGATCAATATCTAGAACTGTGAAATCACTCATATGTAAAGTCATTCGTAAAACAGTAATTGGTGACACAGAATCCTGAGTAAACCCAGCACTGATTATAACCGACTCGCTGCTTCTGAACAGTCACTTTGTTTCCTTCATTCCACATAAACACCACTGTGTTTTCTCTTGAAGTAAAAATGTGGACAGGCCAGTTTCACCCAGCTGTAAGTCTGCAGTGAGCGACAAGTCGTTGGATATGCCGCTTCACTTTAAAGACATGAACCTCCTTGAGAACAAAAGGTAAATCTGAGCAACGATTCACAGTAATCAACCCAGAGATTTACATCCGTAACAATGAACACTGAGGCCATGTGGTGTAAAATTGAGCTTTTATAGTTGTTGATGTGTTTACACTTTAGCGTCTTAAAATAACGTCACACTAATTTGCCTCTGTGTTTATGGATAAAACACTGGAACTCCAAATCTGCAGTTGTTTCTTTTCAGTCTAGTGTCATTTTAAATCACTGTGCTTGTGTGTTTTGTGCTCTAAACCAAAAACTGGGTTTTTGGGGTGAAGACCAAAAACTGCAGAGCTGTAGAAATGTGATCAGTCTGGATAATGAAGACTTCAGTCACAGCCAGTCCTGAAACATTCATTTCTCACAACCATCCAATCATGATCACTTAGCATAACTGCAGAGATCAATAATCTAAAGTACAATAAAAAATTAGGTAATAGATAATCAGAATTGAGCTCAATGTTCACTTCCCGGAACAAATCCTGTTCAGAAGAGATTTGATTTTTTGGTCAGGAGAGCAGTTATGAAAGACTCACTATCCACCCTATTTCAAGTGACCACAGTATCTTTTCCCATTTACTCCACTATATCTCCTCTGTGTCTTCACTGTATCACCTCTACTGTATCTCCACTGTATCTCTTCCTATTTTACTCAACTATATATCTTCTATCTTCACTGTATCTCCACTGTATCTTCACTGTATCTCCTCTACTGTATCTCTTCCCATTTTACTCCATTATATCTCCTCTGTGTCTTCACTGTATCTCCACTATATCTCCTCTCGTATCTCCACTGTATCTATTCCCATTTTTCTCCACTGTATCTCCTTTACTCCACTATATCACTCCCCATTTTACTCCATTTAATCTCATCTGTATCTTTACTGTATCTTCATTGTATCTCCTCCACTGTATCTTCTCTGAATCACCACTGTATCCCATCTCCTTTGTATCTCCTCCCATTTTACTGTTTCCACTGTATCTCCTCGCATTTTACTCCACTGTATCTCTTTCCATTTTACTCTATTTGCTGTATCTTTTCCCATGTTTCCACTGTATCCCCTCTGTATCTTCACTGTCTCCACTGTATCTCCTCCCATTTTATTCTATTTTTGATGTATCTCCTCTGTCTCTCCTCACACTTTACTCTGTCTCCACTGTGTCGCCTCTGTATCTCCACTGTATCTCTTTCACAGTTTTTCCACTATATTTCTTCCCATTTTACTTTGTCTCCTCTGTATCTTCACTGCATCGCCACTGTATCTCCTCTACTGTATCTCCTCCCATTTTACTCTACATGATTGGACACTTGAACAGTGAAAGGACACCTGTTTCTCTGACAGTGTTTAAGCTTATTTAACCTTGCTTCATAACATATGTGATTTAAATTAAATTAATACTTTGGATCAGTTTAATATAATGTCTCAAAAATGTCTTTTGTCTTTTAGTCTGCTGTCTGGATTTGCTTCAACTGCAGACAGCGGTATATCTATGACGATCTCTAACTGCTCACATGAAGACCCTCAAGAACACAGGCTGAGCTCTCGCTACGCTGAGGCTGGAGATGTGGCCTGTGATCTGTGTAAAGGACCAAAACGAAAAGCTTTCAAGTCTTGTATGACCTGCCTCGCCTCCTTCTGTGAGACACATGTCAGAGATCACTACACAGTAGAGGCACTGCAGAGACACCTACTGGTGGAGGTCACCAAAAACCTCAACGTACTTCAGGAGAACGCTCAGCTGAAGAAAACAATCAAGGAGGCGCGTGATGAGAACCAGACCCTGAAACGTCAGATCTTGACCCTGAAGAAGGAGAATGCAATACTGAGGTTCCCTGATTACATCTGGAAAGAGAAGTTGCCTGTAGCAGGTGAGCCGTTGAGGTAGAAATTCATTTAATCTTTTGCAGATCCAACAGATGAGGCTGTTTTGGGTGCCATAAACACAAGCAGCGTATAAACTTGGCTGGTCATATTTTCATGTTTCACCATCCACCTTGTTTTTCAAGTGACCACTGTATTTTCAAGATTATGGCTGAAATATCCAGTTGTGAAGGAAAGTGTACTAACTTAAAAAGTAATCTTGTTGTTGTTGTTGTTGTTGTGTTGTTGTGTCCCATTAAATGTCTCTGCACCTAAAAAAAATCCAGCCATATGATGAAATTCCAATGGAACATCACTGATTGCTGCTAACACACTTTCTCTTTAACTGGTTTACACAGGGGTGCACAACTGGGTGGCCGATGTCCATCACAGCTTTGAGGTTTCCCTACTCAAACACAACCATTAAACCTGCCAGTTAACAGATAAGTATAAGCAGGTGTGGTTGAGCAGGTAAATCACCAAACTGTGCCGGACACCGGCCCTCCAGGACCAGAGTTGTGCACCCCTGGGTTTACATTTTGATGAACCACCTAGTGCAGAGCAGAGCAACTAAGGGTCAGGGAAAAGACAAACTTCAAAATGAGAAAAGGGTAAGAGCAGGAAACCAAGTTGGACAAGAAATAAAATAAAAAGGGAAACAAGGAAAGTAACGGGTCAAACCCTCAATCACTGTAATCCCAGACTGACGTGCTGGATGCCACGCCACTGAAGGGATGATGGCCGTGCTAACTCTGGTAAGACTTAAAAGGGATAAGAACTCCCCAAAACTGAACTCAAAACACTCCCTTCTTTAATCTGTCCCTCACTTCTTTTTCCCTCACACAGAGATGCTGGGAATCAACTAGAGGAAAAGCAAAGAGCTTGAAACTTAAGAGAGATACCAAAATTACCGGCTGAGTCAGAGCGTCTTGCTCATGGCAGAGAGAAATCAAGACTGAGCACTGAGCAGTGTGTGAGCACCCCTTAGGTAGGGTGCCCACAGCTGCAACCGCTCAGTACTAATTACTCAGTCCTGGCTCTCTCGGAGGTGGCCTAGCAGGCTGCCTGGACGTTGTATTGTATCCCTTTCAGAGTTTCTTTGAAAAGACTTACTGTTGTTAGCATGGCTGTTAGTTGTCCACATTAGTCTGTCGACCAATTAAAGGCTGTTTTCCTGAGTCAACATTCTTTCAAGTTGTCTACGCTTCTAGGCAAAATGAAAGTACATCTAGCATGCAGCGTTCGTGAAATACTTCATCTATTTCTGTCTACTTCTAATGGATATATTGTGCCCACCTGCTCAGTAAGCCGGGGATATGTACAGAAAGCTAACAGGTGTATTCAATCCTTTACAGATGGAGTTACAAAAAAACTAAGATATACAAAGTAAATAATGATCTGTGTTTCTCTCACACATTCAGGTTTCTGTTGACAGATTGGTTACAAACGGCACCCAAGCATTCAAGCACCCCACCAATTAAGATTATATGTATTTTCATTTATTCCTTTAATTTTACCATCATCATTCACGTCAGTGATGATCTGTTCTTCTTTCTCTTTTTAGCCGATGTGGTTCTGGATCCTGCGACAGCTCACCGCTCACTCATTCTGTCTGATGATCGTAAACAAGTGCGACTGGGGGAAAAGAAAACCGTCGATCACAGGGCGCAGAGATTTGACAAGTATGAGTGCGTCCTCGCCACTGAAGGCTTCAGCTCGGGATGGCACTACTGGGAGGTGGAGGTCAACAAGGAGTTCACTATTGGGGTCACCAGAGAGTCGGCTCAGAGGAAGGGAAAGTTCACCTTCTCACCCAGTGTGGGTTACTGGTGTCTCTATCATTACAGACAGTCCTTCACAGCTCTGGAGGAGCCCAGCAGGCCCCTGCCAATCGACACTGTACCCCGGGTGATGGGGGTCTGTATCGATATGGGTGAGAAGTGGGTCACTTTTTACAACACTGAGACCAAAACTCACATTTACACATTTGAAAATATGGACTTCGCAGACGGAGAGAAGATCTATCCTGTATTCAATACCTTGGAGAAATCAGCGGACCTGAAGATTAGGGCTTTAAGAAGAGACCTGTATAGCGTACATGCTGTCTAAACATGATCAGGGTAATCACTGATCAGATTGTAGACGGCTGCTTCCCAGTTCACTGCAACCCCCAAATGTTCATTTGGACACAGTACTTTAAGATACTTTGAATAAGATTACTCTAAAAACTATGTACAGTAAACAAGCACCAAGAGTCACAGAGACTCAACAGTTCGAGTTTTTATGCTTGGTTGTGATTGGTTGTAAAAGTAAAGATAAGATTTTGTGGAATGGCATGTATTCAAACATGGCTTATTTATCACTGTTATTATTATTAAGTACCATCAGACTTCTGGCGACCAAATGGATAGTGCTTTCCAGAATGCCCTGCCTTCTGTTTGAGTCTTTAGGCTTCTTACTGATTCAAAGGCATCAATGTTTTTCCAGTCTTGCCTTTTTATTGTCCAGGCCAGTTCTGATCCTTGATTGTGGAGACACATTATTACATCTGAGAATCTTCTTAAGTTTCTTCTTGGAAGTCGCTTCTCATTCTCCAGCTTCTTGTTTGAATTTTCCCGTTCCACCTTAAATTCTGACTGAGATGCTGAATGTAAATGTGGAACCATTTAAGGTCGAACAGGGAAAATTCAAAAGAGAAGCGACTTCATCTTCGCAACAGTTTAGTGCTTGACAGTCTCTCGTTGCAGATTTAACGTTCCAGGAAACTGCGCTGCTTATTAATGCGAATAACTTTGTTATGTTGTTGTTATGTGACCTACACGTTGTTATGTGACCTACAGTCTGCACGCCAGTTCTCAGTCGTTGAGAAACAGGGCTTCCGCGCTATACTGCACACGTCTCGAAGATATTCTACTGACACAGCGACTTTATTGCAGATGAGTGGCAGCAGCGTCTCAAACAAGAGCAGTGAATGAGAGCCTTCTACATCACTTCCATTTGTTTTATTAATAAAAGATATTGGAAGTAAATTCATTATGGATCATCACAAATACTTTGCTTTAAAACTAGAGTCCTCACACAGTGAGAAAATAGAAATCCTATGTAGAAAAAAAGATGCATCGATAATAGTTTTATAATCGCATCGCAGCCCTCTGAATCGTTATCGAATTGTGAGGTGCCTAAAGACTCCCACCCCTACAATTGATGCTCTAAAACTTCTTGTGGTTTCTTCTTCTTCTTCTTCTTCATTATTATTGTCAGTCTTGTTAGTAATGTAAGTACACAATGTTGTATTTAAATTTTCCAAATAAAAAATGAAGCAGAAAAAATAGAAACCAAATTGTCTTTTAATCTGCCAGTTTTAATGTTGTGCTTTTATACATGTTTAACTGGTTGTGCTAAATCTCTTATCAGCTCTACAATCACAGAACCTGCATTCAGTGCTGTGTTACAGGAAAACAAAGGGTTTTCTGAGAACTCGTCCTAATTGACCTTCTGGGCAGATCTGGAAAATCTACATTCCATTAAAACAGGAGCAGCTCTGAGCTCTGAGCTCCACCTCCTTTGTTGCGATCAAAACACTCTAATAACAAATGGACAGTAAGAGGGATAGTCAGTAGGGGTGGGAGTTGTTGCAGGTCCACCTGATACGATATTATTAAAATACTTGTTTTGTGATATTCAAGTGTTTGTGATATGCTAAGTATTGTGAAATGGTGTACTGCAATATGTTGTGGCTCGCTGGGCGAGTGTCTTATCCTCTACAATTGTAAGGGTCCAGCCTGTGCCACTGGCGGCAGTGGTGAGGCACCACAAGTTCAGGGAACTCCAATTCCCAGAAGCCCTCAGGCTGATTAGGCCCAACCTGGCACACCTGTGGACTCCTCTACTTAAGGCCTGGCAAACAGCAGCACTTTGTCAGACCTTTGTAGAGGGGTGGCTGGTACGGTACTTAGCCCAGGTGGGTATTTAAACAGAAAGAAAAGAGGGCCGGTAAAACAAACAGAGAAATGACCCCAAAACTACTTAGAAGCCAAAAAGAAGGTTTAAACAAGAAACGGCTCCAAGCCATACAAACAGCATTTGTTCCACAAAGAGCAATCAGGTGAAACATAGAGCTGATCTTCCTCTCAGAATCACAGAGGAAGTGTCTTTTGTTTTCTGATTATCTTTTATTTCACTTTTCTATCTCAGCCTTTGTTTGAGCTCTGCTTTCAGTGTCCCCTTTGTTTACTGTTTCTCGCCAGTTTTTAGTCCCATTCATTCAAGTGTTCTTCCTGTTCTTGTCTGTGCTTCCCGGTGCAGTAACTCCTCAGATCGCCAATCAGTACATCAGCGGTTCAAGTCTGGCTCTGAGCCACCTCAACACCAATGTGCAGTCACTCAATTCACACTCCATCACCTGATTAAATTCTTTTAAGACCCTTTCTCACGGGTTTTCCTCTCTGCACTTGGGTCCACCGCCCTGCCGTCCCGTAACAACTATAACTTCATTTTGTCTTGTTCTTTTTGAAATCTTATGTAGTTGTTTCTGCTCTCTTACATTATTGTTTAATTAGCCTGGCCAGTCTGACTTTTTTCTGTTTATAGCCTTGATTGACTCTTAGTTTAGTTCCATAAACCTGCCTTTGGGCCTTTTTAATAAAACCTGCCCTGTTTATCCTGCAATCATTTCTGCTGAACTGCCTGAACTAAGCCTGAAAGCAGTCTGGACAGCTTGAGCTATGACTTAAAATAAAACACTCAGTCATCACATTTTAAAAACACAGCATTCCACAGTTTACACTGTGGGATAAAGAGTACACTGTCATGGCTAAAACTTACAAACTTCCTCACTTTTACAGCAAGAAAATTGGTTAAAATAGTTTAGATTAAAAATAGAAATCAAGAAGATTTATTTTATTTTATATCTTTTATGAGAGGCAAAATGCTATTGTGTCACTGAGGCAAAAAAGGGTCAAAAAGATTTTGAGCTTGTAATATGATATTCACAAATGTACTGTAATTTGCAGTTGTTTGAGCAGCTACATACATAAATCAATTCAAAAATGTGTAAAGATATTTAATATACAGAAAGGATTTTTGAATGTGTGAAAAAGATCGGCAAATGATTTACACTGTACCTGACCATAAAATCTCATCAAAAGTTTGAAGTTCCAAGTGTGACAGTACAACACGTCTTCATTTCTGTTTTGTATAAGCTCTTTTTACAGCTACGGATTTTTGACCCTATTTTGACGGCAAATTGATGGACCAATAGGAAAGCTTGAACTGGTCCAATCAGAAAGTGAGTCTGACTTATCCAATCACAACCATGACTGGTTGCTGTCAGTCAAAGCTTTGGTAAGCTGTCGGTACCCGCCTCTAATGGCGCTTCGACTGAGGGCATATGTGGGCATATCGGTATCCGATTCTAGCAGTATGTGTACATGTTAGGTAGCATAATAATATTGTCATGCACCCGGGCCCCGGTGACGGCTGCGAGAGCTGGCAGGAAGGCGGGGCCCGAACTCCAGGCAGATATGAAGCGGGTATGATTTATGTGTATGTAGCTGCTGCAAATTTCAATACATTTGTGAATATCATATTACAAGCTCAATCGTTTTGACTGTTTTTGACTCCGTACGTCACACAGCGTAGATGGTGCATGTGTGGGCTTAATGGGAGCCCTACTATCTTTAGATTTAAAACAAAATAATAGCAAAAATTAAGTTAAGCATGATTTTGTTGCTCTCAGCCAACTCTTTATGCAGTCTAGGCCTCGGCCTCTAAATCTGGGAAGTTCCCCATTAACCTAACTATAATCCTAATTATTAAACTTAACACCTCCTTATTTACTTTAGGTGAACTAACGCTCTAGAGCACATGAGACCTGTCACTTATTGCACCAACCACAATGAGCACAACGTTCTCAACACCGTTCACTTTTCACTCAGTCATAGCATTCACAACAATTAAAAGCACTTTTTACACTTTAATCAGCAACATTCTTTCACTTGTTACTAACATTCTCAACTCATCCTCAAACTGTATCTCTTATTGGATCTATGCTGATGTATATTGTTAATATCTCTTCACCCAATCCAGGTAAAGCCTTCTCTGGCAGGTAACTTATCTTTTATGATCTTTTGGGGTAGGCTCCGCCCCTATCGTCCCTACATGACAGGATTTGAGAGGGTCTAGATGTTCCAAGACCTGGGCCGACGACAAGGCCTGCGCCGAGGACTTTAACTTGCAAAAAATTCAATATCAAATTGTTCAATATTAAGTCATTTTTCTTCCTTCTCGTTGGTCTCTGGATTTTTTCTGGTAGAACAGAATCTACACACACTCAGGAGCACAAAGAACAGTTCTGCGCTTTAAGAACACGTCATGAATCTGACAGACTTTTTCTTAGGATCTTTCTCAAGAACACACTTAAGAACAAACTTAAGGAGATATTGGAGAACGAGGTCCAGTGTTTATATGTTCATAAACAATCACAGAAAGGGTTTATTTAACATCAAACGTTTTCAGATTTGTTTGTTTCCACATTAATATTTAATATATTGATGTATTATAAAACATTTTATTTGTAAGCAAAATGGCCCAAAGTTTAATTACACACTTGTGCAGAAAAGCTCAGCCAGTTGACACTGAAGTCCCTGTAGTTACTGAATAATAAAGCTTAGTGTGTCAAACCTGAGATTTTATGGGGTTAAATGTGTTAGTCAAGTTTTTAAAAGTTGCTAAGTTTTGCTTTTATCCAACATTAATAATTTGTTGGGTTTTCAGTTCTTTACAGAGCCTGAGAGGCACAACATGCCAAAAAAGATAAAAAAAAACAAACAAAAAAAAACCAAATACAGTTTCTGACTTTTTTTTGTAATGTTCAAAGAAAAGAAAAATAATTTACTGCTGAAAAACTGGCATTAGAAGGGATGAGCTGGAGAAGAAGGAGCACACCAGTCACACAGTGTGATGGGGTTGTCATAAATAAATAAATAAATAAATCAGTAAGTAAATAAATAAATATGGCTACGGAGGTAGAAAACCGTTTTGTCAAGGGTTATTAAATGTCATTTAAATATGTCATTAAAAATATGGCTGTAAAGGGTCAGCCTGTGCTGCCAGCTGCCAGCAGAGGGCGACAGCATCGAGGCACTGTACTCCGGGAGACTCAAAAACCTTAGAATACCAAGGGGTAATCAGTGCCAACCAGGCGCACCTGTTGGTACCAGCATTTAAGGCTGTGGCAAACAGCTCACCCTGTCACACCTTTGTAGAGGGGTTACCGGTATGGTACTCGGTGGTTGTATTTAAAAATAATAAATAAATAAAAGAGAGAAGAAAGAAGGGTAAAAAGAGAAAATAAACAGAGGAGCTAGAGGACAGAGAAGAAAAGAGAAAAGGGAGAAAGAAACATTGGGCTAATTTAAGACAAAGGAAGAAAAATCTGGTTTCATTTAAAGATTTAAGCCTTCAGAGGAGCACAGACTGAAAGCTGGTAGGTCCAGCATTAATAATTTGTGTCTCCACAGAACTGCTCAGCCTTCTTTAATGAGGCCAGAATACAGTTCAGTTACAGAAATATAGAATATAGGCCAGTTAAAAAGAGCCTGTTGCCTGTAACCAGAGGTTCAGCACCAGTTCTTTACCTGACTTGCACTTGTTAGGCACAGATTTCAAATCTAACAGCTTTACGGTGAAAATGGGACAATATAGCCTTCTTTAGCTAAATTAGCTGTTTGGCTAAAAATGTTTAGCTAGTGAGACAGAGCTGCGTTCATTCTGCAGTGTAAACTGTGTTGCTGTGTGTAGTCATGAACGCTGCTCTAACTCTTATTGTGTTTAAGAACTGTGTTTATTGATCATGTTTAGTTAACTGACCAATAGGGCTGGATGATCGATCAAAAATGTATTTTCAATTAGGAAATCCACCATGAAAACCTTCATTAAATGGGCTTTCTCTGCTCTCTGTTCAGTTCACACATCATGTGAGTGAGCTGTAGTTACATGGTTCTGCTGAACCAAAGATTA